GCCACATGCTGTCATTCAGAGTGAGAGAAAAAATCTGAACCACAAGGTGAGATTTGTTGTTTTTGCCTTTGAAATGAGAAATAATATGCACTCCAAAAGACGGAAGGTCAATAATTCAATAATAGTTCAGAGACTGTGATAGAGTATGTGGTTCAAGGAGATGAGAAACTGGGTTCTTGGGAGCTGGGAAGAGAGGCGAGGCTGGACCTACCGTCTCTTGGACCTTCCTACCACCTGTATGTTTCAGCTGTTAATCCTGAGGAGGGACTCAAAGCTTCCTCTCAAGTAAGACATTCTCTACTCTGAATTCTATTCAGTTAGAGATATGAATGTAAAACAGCCATAGCCAACCTCTTTCCATAGGTGAATACCTTGTTATTTTATTATTTTATTCTCACCCCCCCTTACTCCATAGAATTTGTACTTTGTTGCTGTTTGTCTTATGGCTGACTGTCTGAATAAGGAACACAAGACTTTATCTGTTTTTCCATGAATAGATGTATATTTGCATGTAGTTGTGTATGTAGGAATCTAACTTTAAAGCACAATAGAGATGGCCTAATTTTACTCCAGAGATCTATTTTGTTTTGCTAAATAGGTTTATTTGGTTTATTTAACTTACCTGCCAATACTTGAAAATGGAGTGAGTTTGCTTAAAACTTAGGATTTCCAGAAAATTTTACAAAACTGGAACTCCTTCCACATGCTAATATCATCTTGGAGGCCCAGCCCCCTGGTACAGTTGGCAGCTCACCAAGCAGCAGTGCTGGAAGCCATAGGCCAACCAGAGGTTTAGATCCCAGCCTGGTTGACCTGAAACATGCTAGGCATCCGTGCCTGTGCCCAAGCCCCGGATGAACTGGAGGGTGAGGGAAGGGGATCACAGCATGACCAGAGCCTATTGAGGGTACTTCTCTGTCTCAAGCATGAGCTCTATCATGAATAAAATAAACTTCACCATATATGGTGACTTAAAATAATATATAATATTAAATATTACCTCAGAACCCAATAGTGAGCTCACTGCTTAAATTGTGTACTTTTAGGCTTATCTTAGCCCTCTTCTCTCATGCACTATAAACAAATCCCTCCACTGCTCCACTATGATGAGAAAGCAAAACAATACAAGACTAACCTAGAACACACACATACACACAAACCTAACTCATAAACATTTCAGTTTGGAATTTCTGATCTCTTCTCCACTCCCTTGATAGATTCATAGATAAATTCAAGTACACAGAAGTATTAAGTTGAACCAAATTTGAACCACAAAAAAGGCAATTTCATATGGTTCAAACCTAATACAAATGTTCATATTGTCATTGCATGGATAAATCATGTTTGAAATCAGACTTAATCTCTACTGTAATGATTACAAAGGATATTTTTCCTGGTGGAAAAAATATTTTGCTGACTTATCTAAGTGTATTATTACTATTTTCCACCTTGTTCCTGAAATGTCTAATACCTACTATCGTCCTTCCTCCAAATTCTCTTCTCCACAAGCTCTTGTTCAAAGTCTAGATCTACCAAGAAGTCTTTTTACGCTATTCAACTTTTTACTAATTTTTCTAAACTTATAAATCACTCATATGCTAGATCACACATTTTATTGGTTAATTTTATGTAGTCTTTCATTGTTTTCTCTACCCAGAACTATGTTAGTAACCTAAAAACAGAGGTTCACTTTTCACAAAGTAGCCTTAGATCTCAAACAGCATTTGACACTTGCCGATTGCTTCTCTCTTAGTAAACTAGTATGACCGCATACATTTTCAAAAAAGAGATACCTCCTTTTGCAAGAGAAGCAATTCATTGAATAGAAGCATTTTGACTATTTGGGAATGAAATACTCTTATTTCGTTCTTCTGTGTGTGTGTGTATGTGTGTGGGTTTTAATGACATCATGGTCTAAAATGGCAATATCTTTAACACATACAAATATCATGAAAAAAAATCGATCTAATTGAATTTCTGAGCTCACTCTCAAGAAATAAACTTACTCATTCTGAAAGAGCTTTTTAAACTGTGATGTAAAAACCAAAACACAGAAAACCACGTACAGCAACTGTATAACTTAATGAAGTATTATAAGTTGGAGTTCAAAATGTTCCTTTGCTGTATTCCATGCAAAACTGGCATTTTAATTCAAAAGCTGGCTCAAACTAAATAAGTTTGATCTTTTTGGCAAGACTCTACAAAATAATGTGTCTTTTCATCTGAAGGTACATGCTATCTGGTTATCTCTCTTAGTGATTGTGAATTCTTTCTTTCTTTTCTTTTTTTTAAAGAATTACTGGCTTAATTTTATTTATTTTTATACTTCAATTTGACCAGACAGAGAGGAAACAAGCATGCACAAGCTGAGAGAGAAAGCAAACCGCCAGGTTCGCTATCTGAACCATGGGCGACCACGTAGAGTCCACCTCTTAACCACCATGCCACCTGCTAGCCCCACAATTACGAATTCTTTTTTTTTCTTTTCATTCACTCATAGGGGTTGCAAAATAGTGATATTTTCATTTCATCGCTTGATTTTTGTTACCTAAATCTTTATAAGGAAATAGTCCTTTTATGTGCTGCTTGGTTTCACTTTGGTAGAGTTTATTTAGGAGACTAGAGTAATGCATCATCTTTTACCAGTTTTCAAGAGAGTAATTTAGCTCTCTCTCAGCTTCAGAAGTGACCAGTTGTTATTTCTCAAAATATCTATATGAATTCATTGATGGGTTTTAATACATTGTATTTCTTTATATATCCCCAGTTTGTTCTCATCTTCAGCCCTCAGAAGCTTCTTCAGCTTGACTCCTGAACCCATTTGACACGATCCTATTAGTCTCTGGTTGCTTCCTTTCTATCCAGTATGTCAAGAAATTCCAGGCTAAATTGGCATGTGTCTAGGTTGCTTCCTTTCTATCCAGTATGTCAAGAGATTCCAGGCTAAATTGCCATGTGTCTAGCTTCACATTAGGAATCAAGCAATTCTGCAAGAAACTCTTCTTTCTTCTTGGAAATTTCTTTTAATATTGTAGTCTGCATGCTAGGGACACTTGTTGCTACTGCATCAATATTTCTAGGTTTTTTCTGTGACCAGAGCTAGAACAGAGATAAAATATCCTTTGAGTTTAAATTTCCAATTCAATTTCAGAAACACAGGACTTTATCTTTTTTCTATTTTACATCTATAACTACATCTCAAGGACACCAGGGGTGATAGAACTAAACTTTGCAGTTATATATTTTGCTTTATCCTTTATTATATTAGTTTCAGGGTAACTACAGTACAATTATCACCATCAATAATAGTTGTTGAAACATTTGTTTTGTATCTACTGTCCCTATTTTCTCTGAATTTTCTCTTACAATTGTAACATATCTATGATACCAGAACATGTAGCCATTACAAAATAAAATCTCTCCCTTTTAACCCTCGTTTAGACTTAGTTAATTAAATTTGTTAATCATTGGTCAGTGTTCAGGTCAATGTCTTCTCTGATCATTCTGGGTGCATACAGCTAATTTGTTAATATTCTAGGGAGCAGGGGAATAATATTCCTCATTGCTTATTGATAACAATGTGACTGTATCCTTTATATTGTTTCTGGTTTTTTTTTTCTTTTTTTTTTTTTAAGCTTACTATAGGGTACCTGCACTTGCCTGAGAGAGGTGGGGGGATTCATGGGGGAGTGAGAAATCACCCCCCTAGGGAGCATGGCTGCACCACAACCCTGTCTCTTCTGTACTTCTCTTGGAATTTTGGAAACACATGAACATGCACCTGGGATGATTTTCAAGACATGCAGTAGGCCATGTGGGATTCAATCACCTGAACCATACCATCTGCTGGCCTTGTACCCTTCATATTAATTGTTATCTTTTTGTTTACTCCCAAATCCTTGAATCATGTTATCTTAAGTATCTTAAATTAATTATGCTAACTTCTTTGGGCATCAGATGTTACTGTCAAAAAGCCAGATAATGATCGCATATTCTACCTTGTAAGTGAAATGCCATGCCACAGTCCCTTCTCCTCCATTTTCCTCTCAAGATTTGGAACATGCACACACATGTTCCTGGTGTGATTTTTCAAGCTACCAGGTCCAGGACTTGAACCACAGTTGGCCATGCGATATCCAGCTATTTAACCACCACACCACCTACTGGCTCCATCTCACTCTTCCTTTTATCTGGACTTTCCCTTTCTTTCTATTGCTTTAGTTGTGCCATATTTCACATATATCCTCAGTAGTGTGTACTCATTTGGGGACTTGTCCTGGAGAGGAGACTGCAGGTTAATTTTGAGTGTTGGCATTTGCTGTTCTCAAACTGCACTTTCTAGCATTACCTAGTAGTTATTTTAGTATGATCCTATCTTCAGATGCAATGCAAGATACAGACAATACACAGGTTGGAAGGTTGCTGGTTATTTATTCACACCCACATGTATTCTAGGGTTCGAGGGCATTCCTTATTACCTAGCTCTGTAGTAAGCACCTGTTTTGGGTTTTCTAAAATCGATCATTCAGTTGATTTTTTTTTTACATGGGGATTCAGGAAGATCAAAAACCTGTATTACTGTCACTGACACTTTCTTCCCAGGATCCAGCTCACTCATTTATTTTTTTAAAGAACTTTTTTCTATAGGATTCATACACTCACCAGAGAGACAGAGAAAGAGATAAATCACTCCCCCCACCACCGAGGGGAAGGCCACACCACAATCCCTTCTCCTCTATTCTCCCTCTCAGGATCTAGGGCATGCATACACATATGCCCAGCATGAGTTTTAAACTGCCGGCCCTGAGACTCGAACTGGTTCAAATATGTGGGAGTCCGGCAATGTAACCATTATGCCATCTGCTGGTCTCCAGCTCACTCATTTTTAACCAACAATTTATTTAATAGATTCTATTAAATTTGTTTGCAGAAAATGTTTATCCTGAGTATTTCAGTAACTAAGTAAATCAACATGTTTTTATATTTTTTTTTCCCTCTAGAGTCAAGTTCCCATTATGTGATCTCCCTAAAGGCTTTTAACAATGCAGGAGAAGGAGTCCCTCTTTATGAGAGTGCCACCACCAGGTCTATAACAGGTAAGCTCAGGTCACGAATCTTCAGTGAACAGGTAGGCAGGGTTTGAGTTATGGGGAAAAAGAAAAACTAAAGCAAAAGAAGCAAAACACAAACAAAGGAAAACCCCAAATATGAATATATGCAGTCATCCCTTGAGCTCTGTGTGTGTGTGTGTGTGTGTGTGTGTGCACACACACACTCATGCATATATGCATACATGCAAACATATGCATTCAAATTTTTCTTTCTTTGATTTTTCAAAATTAAACAAGAAACATTCAGTCTCTATATTAGTACATTGACTTAGGTAATATAGTTTTTTTATTCCTTCTCCTAATTTCTCCGTGGTTTTGGTGCCCTGATTCTACTCTTCATCCTAATATCTTCGTGGTTTTGGTGCCCTGATTCTACTCTTCATTCTTAGGACCAGCTTGTCTCAAATCAGTGCCAGTTAGGAAAGTCTCTGTGGAAAGCCTGTCGAATGCACAAATGGGCACCACTTTCTCTGCACGGGTCCTTCAGCTAAGATGACAAGGGTAATCTGACCTCCTGGGGCTGACTTAGACTAGGCTGAGTCACAGAGGTGGGTGGCTTTTTCCTGAGCTGGACCCACAGAGCACCCCAGCAGTGCATGGGACCTCTGGATTTTAAAGGGGTGACTGATTCTAGGGCTTCTAACCTCTAGGAATTCTTACGTAGTCAGACTGGAAAGGCAGCATGGGAAAGCGAAAGGGCTCAACACACTGAGGAAAACAGTAAGAAGGTGTGGTCTAAGCCCTTTATGGGGTGCTCCTTGTGGAGTTGCTACAAAATTGAATGACTAATACCTCTGTGGGGCTGGTTGGAGTCACTAGAATGTCACTTAAGTATCCCTGAAACCTCCAGACTCATGTCGGAAGCCTTGAAGTAAAACTCAAAAGTCCCAACTCTTTAATTAATATTTTGAAGTCACATACTCCTCAAACGTCTTGGACCTCATTTAATTTGTCAGCCATTTTTACCTTAATGAGAATAAAAGATCAGAAATAGCAAGCACCAGAGAGCACAAAAATTTTTGGGATGTGAAGACCAGCCGAATAAGAATGAGCAGGTATAAAGTAACTAGTGCTTTCCTTTGGCTTCTGCAACTGCCCAAATTTATGTGAACTTGGTGCAGTTTGTTTTCTAAGCCCACAAGCTCCATTTATAGACTGTCTTGAGAATACAGTTGTTATATAAATTCACAGTTGTTATGTGATGGCTTTCAGACCATACCAACACTCTATTGATTTCAACCAGATAGCTCTGTAAGGCAAAGTTGTTATTCCCTTTTCTCTGAATCTTCCGCATTTGGTCTTGAGGTCTGTGATTTGCCCAGAAAGATGCAAAATTGGGGCACATATCAATATATTCATTTATCTGTAGAGTCCATATATAGCTTTCATAGTATTATTGAAGGCTCATAACTCCTTTAAAAAAAAAGAGAGAGAAAAAAAATAAGCATTTATCCTATAAAATATTTACTATCAAATGTATTACGTCTAAATATAGAAAGATGAGGAAAATAGAAGTCCAGCATGGAAACAAAGGTAAAACATGGTGGGTGGGTGTCTGAAATTTCTACTTATCTTCTTGCTGTGCTAGCAGCAAGATTTTTTGAGACTAGCAGGACACACTGGCTGTACCAGTGTTTCCTGAGATTTGCATGTAGTAGGCTATCTCCTTCTGGCCTGTGGTAAAAGGTGCTGAGAAGATCCTTATTGACATGGTAATGTTGAGTTGCGCTTGTGCCACACAGAATTCCACTATGGCGGGTCTCCTAAGGCTCTTGTACTCTTACCAGAGCCAGAGTCCACAAAGAAGGACTCCTGAGGGGCAAAGGGAACAAACACCTACTAGACACAAGAACGTGACGTTCTCTGTTGAAAATTATGTAAGTGTTATGTCCTTGATTTTTATTGTCACATACTGCACCTATACTTTGAAAACCATATTGTGTGTTATAGGGCTATGCAGTGAGTGACTATAAATAAGGAATCATAAACATTTATAAGTAGGAAAAGAAATTTGAAAAATCTTGAGCAAAAAGTGGTAGTAGTAAAGTTTGGATGAACTGAAGGTAAGTTGCTCAGAAAGAACCATCTGAGACTTTGTCAGCGTCTTTCCCTGTAGCATTGGTTGGCATTCTTTAATTCTCAGCATATGGCATTCCCAAAGCAATTTCCAAAACACCAGTGATCCGTAAGACATTTTTTCCTTGATATGACTATAATCTGAATGGTTCTGAGAAATGAAATAATAACAAAAGTTTGAAATTGTGTGAGGAGTTTTCTGACCAAAGAAGCAGCCAATAAAAACTGAGAAAGGAGTAGGAGCCACCCTTTCCCAAGGAAAAGAATGGACGTTCCCTGGACATGGCAGAAATACTTTTCTGTGTTTTCACACATCATAGAGAACAAAGGACAAGCAAACAAAACCAAAGGTTAAGTTTCTGGGAGAAACTTTCAATAAATGTGTCATGGTGCTACCAAAGACATTCTGTCTCTGAGCTTCTGCAACGTATTCCCATGAGCACTCTTGGAAGAAGGCCAGCAGAAAATAAATACGAAATATATCAGAGGCTATAAAAGCATCAAGCCAGAGTAAGCATCAGGCTATGGAGCTCTAGACACACGTGTGCTCATAGATAGCTGAGCTCTGGAGCCTCATGACATCCTGGGGATATCAGTACTAGAGCTGCTGAAGTTCCACCCAGCCAAATGCCTGAAAATTTTAATTTTTATTGGGGCCAGCAGATGGTGTGGTGGTTAAGGTGCTGGACTTCCACATGGATAATAGCAGTTCAAGTCCCGGACCTGATGGCTTCCTTTCTAAGTCTTTCTCTCTTTCTCTCTCTCATGAGTGCACATGCCCTATAGCAATTTTTTTTTTTTTGGAGAGATTTTCACTGTAGGGCGCGTGCACTCGCCAGACAGACAGAGAGAGACATAGAGACAGAAAGCGAGAAATCACCCCCCAGGGGGGATGGTCACGCCGCAATCCCTTCTCCTCCATTCTCCTCTCGGGATCTTGGGCACGCACGCACACGCACCTGGCGTGAGTTTTAAGCCACTGGGTCCGGGACACGAACCACGGTCGACTACGTGGGAGTCCAGCGACATAGCCATTACGCTAACTGCTGGTTCCCGCCTATAGCAATTTTTAAAATAATAATGAATAGGGACCAGCAGTTTCATAAAAGAGAGAGAGGTAACCTCAGTAGGTGACCTCTTTCTTTCATAAAAGAGAGAGACAGAGAGGAAGAGAGAGAGAGAGGTAACCTCAGTAGGTGAAGACTCACACCTCACTCAACTCATTCTTGGCCAGCCAAGATTGTAGGGACGAGAGACCTTGGGACAGGAACCTGGGAACTTCCCTTGTGGCTGCCTCAGTATCACACAGCATTTTACCAGTGTGCCAATGTGGCCGGCCATGAATAGGCTTTTTTTCTTGGCAAAAGGTCTGATGCTATATTTTGTCTTTTATTTTTTAACTTTTTAATTACTTTTTTTTAATCCTTGAATCTAATCACTGAGAATCAGTGAGATATAAGGAGCACAGAACTAGGAAGAAAAGGGAGGGAAAAAAGTGTTGTTAAGCACAAAAATAATGCTTTAAGTTCAATTACTCAAATAGTTTGTGACCTGGGAGAAAAAGACAATTAGCAGTATATGTAATATGTATTCACAGCCATGCTTGCTGGCCACTGGAGTATTCTGCTCTGTTGGAAATGCTCAATTCCTGCACTGTCCAGTGTGGTTGGCAGGAGACCCTTGTGGACAGTGAACATTTGAAACTGATAAGTATAAAAACAAGAAGTGAATTTCTAAAACTTTTGTTTTATTTAATTTAAATTTAAATAGCTTATGTAAGTAGTGGCTGTCATATTAAACAGCACAGCTTTAGAAGTGATGACTAAACTGAGAAGCTACAATGAAATAAATCCCTAAACTAGGAAAGAAAAACTCGGCTAAGAGTAGAAATTCTTGGGTCATGGAGGTTCATAGAATTGCTTGAAATATGAGAGAAGCATTCCAGATCTACTTCAAGAAACTCGTTAATGGATCAGCAGTTAGCGTAATGGCTATGTAGCTGAACTCTCATGTAGTCGACTGAGGTTCGAGTCCTGGACCTGGTGGCTTAAACTCACGCCGGGCACTTGTGTGTGCATGCCCAAGATCCTGAGAGGAGAATGGAGGAGAGGGGATTGCGGCGTGGCCATCCCCCCAGGGGGGTGATTTCTCACTTTCTGTCTCTCTGTCTCTCTCTGTCTGTCTGGTGAGTGCATGTGTCCTATAGCAAAAACCTCTCAAAAAAAAAAAAATCATTAACAACAGTCCTAGTAGTGTGCTGTTCTAAAATCCGGAAATGGGCAGGATTGACTATTGCCATTTTTTGAAGTAGAATCACTACATCTCATAATGTTATATGAAGTTAGTAAATGTGCCGGCTAGTGGCATAGTGGTTAAGGCAGTGGGATCTCATATGGTGAACTGCCCAGTTCAGGTCCTGGATGCAGCAGCTTGAAAAACATACCAGGTACATGTGCATGTGTACTCAAGATCCTGCCTGGAGGGAAAAATGGAGTAGAAGGGATTATAATATAACCATTCCCCATGGGGGTGCTTTCTTTCTCCTCTCTCCCCCAGCAAGCTCATATGCACTTTAGCAAAAAATAAAATTAAAAAGCATTTTTATTATTAAATAGAAAATAAATAAAAGAAAAAAGTAAAATAAAATAAATAAAATAGTAAATAACTAAAATTTAAAAACATATTTATTATTTTATTTTATACAAACACACACAGATACACACAAATATAACAAAACTGAATTACAAAAAAAAAAAAAATGAGTATAACCTACTAATAGAAATAAGCCAAAAAAAAAAAATCTAATCTAATCACTGAGAACCAGTGAGATATAAGGAGCACAGAACCAGGAAGCAAAAGGAGGAAAAAAAGTGTCGTTAAGCATAAAAATAATGCTTTAAGTTCAATTACTCAAATAGTTTGTGACCTGGGAGAAAAAGACAATTAGCAGTATATGTAATATGTATTCACAGCCACGCTTGCTGGCCACTGGAGTGTTCTGCTCTGTTGGAAATGCTCAATTCCTGCACTGTCCAGTGTGGTTGGCAGGAGACCCTTGTGTATTTAGGATTACCCACCTCATGTGTTCAGCATACTTGTTGGAAAGCTAGTCAAAATAAACACACGTAAAAGCAGGGCATCACCTGTTTTGACTCAGCAAAAGCCTCCTCCATGGCTATACTTACCTGATGAATGCCGGAGGGCCTCCTGGAGGCTTCAGTGTCTTCAGCTTCCCCTTCATCATTTCATAAGTCCATTTTCAGTGTAAAGGAGTCCATAATAAAAAGAGACATTAAAGGAAATACAGAAAGCCTGAGCTTTCTCATTAAATTTTTAATATACACTTTGGTCTCTCTCTTTCTCTCTATTTCTCTTTCTCCCTCATTTTCTAGCTTTTTGTTCTATTTCTGGTTTGGGTTTATATTTTGCTCCAAAGACCAGAGACCAGGAAACTGCTAAATAATTCATCAGGAAACAGTGATGAATAGAGGCTAGGCATTTGAAATGCAGTGGACAAAGTAAAGTAATCATCAAAACCAGCCAGCAGCCACTCCACTTTGAACTAGGCTGTTTAAAAAAATAAACTCTGGATGTTGATGCTCCAGCTCCTCTGTATTGCAGTGGGTCTCATCTCTCCAAATGGCATCCTATACCTAGCTTGAGAGCTGTGTTATCACATCTTATTTTGGTATTAGCAAAAATACATATTATATAATAGAATGGTAACGTTTTACGAAATGTAAATATCTGAAGGAGAAAATAAAATGCTCAAAATTGGACTATTGCTATAGCCACCAAATAAACTTCTCTGACTCTGATATCCCCAGCATGAAAATCATTACAAGAGTTTTTGGTGGAATCATGTAAAAAAAATACACATCATTATGCAGATTCCAATTACGTTATGGATTGACACACGTGTACACCTCTGCAAATCTCATCAGTCTGTCAATACTTTTCTGTTCTCTCGTCCAATAATATTAAGTCTTTCCACCAAACTTAAAGTTTTTGAACTAGGAATGTAGCGTATAGAAATGCCTTCAAGGGCCAAAATGTTAGCTAATTACTCTGTGAGAATGTGAATAAAATTGACATGCTCTAAAACCTAATTAACAGATACAAACTTGACTCATGTCTCTATTGTATTCCTGGGCACTCTGGCTTGTGCAGTCATAGCCATACACAGGTTGCTATGGATGTCAAGGCACTTCGTTCTGTATTTTTAGTTTGTCTTCTAAATAATATTTATATAGATATAAGCTAAGCAATAAGAAACCAAACTATACAGGAAGAGGAGGAAAAAGCTGTTAAAAAATGTATCTTGTTTTATGTATATCATTGTAAAACTGATCAATTCTATACTGGATCTTCTACAAAGCAATGTACAACAAATTTTTTAAAGAACAGATTTTTGAACTATATACTCAAAGTGACAGCCCCATTTATAAAAACCACTCTAAAGAAATGGGGAAAGGATGGGAAATCTTCAGTTGTTTTTGTGGTATGAGAATACTGTTTCTAATGTGTTTTCTGATTTAATTAATTGCATTTTTTTCTGTTCTTCTCATGTTCCCTTTCATCATTATTGCCATGCATTTAACTCATTGTGATGTGTTACCACTGATGTTTATTTTTTTAACGCTTTTGTTTATGTATTTATTTGTGTTTCATTTGGCGGGTTTTTTAACCCAGATCCCACGGACCCCGTTGATTATTATCCTTTGCTTGATGATTTCCCCACCTCGGTCCCAGATATCTCCACCCCCATGCTCCCACCAGTAGGTGTACAGGCTGTGGCGCTCACCCACGATGCCGTGAGGGTCAGCTGGGCCGACAACTCTGTCCCCAAGAACCAAAAGACGTCTGAGGTGCGACTTTACACTGTCCGGTGGAGAACCAGCTTTTCTGCAAGTGCAAAATACAAGGTGAAATTCTAACAAAGAGCATGAAACTGAAAACAAACTGTCATTTGGTTTGTTGCTTTGCTTTAAATGATTTCTGGATTGTCAAGAAGCATTTGGCTACCGTGACTGTATATGGAAAAACAAAGCTTTTTAATAATTCAGGATCTCAAGTTAACATGAGGATAATTGTGTGATAGGAAACAATTCTAAGCAAGGAAGAAGAATATCAAGGGCTGCAAAATGTTATTCAAATTCTACCAAATGCTGTGTTTATGAAAATAATTTGATTTTGTTCAAGGGTATGTCATTTTCTCTTGAAAATAACAGGACTCCATATTAGTTTCCTAGATAGATTTTGGTCTTGTTCTTTTCACTCAGAATCTAGATGGAAGCCACAGTGAACCCTATTGTCACAGAGATCTATCTTGCAGAGACAGACTGAGGCATAAAAATTCAAAGATATTTTTAATAGTATCCTTAGGAAGCACTCGAAGCCATTAACATCTACTTCCTCATCTATCCTTGAAAACACCCTCATGTGGTTAAAAAAAAAAAAATACCCACAATACACACTCTAACAAATGTGAATTACACCAGCTCCCTACTCCTGTCTTTGTCCTTACGGCTGTCATCGCTCAACCTCTCTGAGGTCCTTAGGGATATAGATGTTTCTGTCATTGCCAGTTCCAAGTCTACCAGACAGCCTCCACAACCCTAACAGTCATATAGTGATATAATTGTATCACCTCCCGAACCTGTTTCAGTATCAGTTCATGTGGACAATGCATAAATGTAGACAAAAATGAGAAGATTGAGGGTCAAGAACTTGTACCTAGAACTATACACACTCGTAGAGATAGTTTATTTGGAAAGAAAATATGATTTAGTTTTTGTTACATAATATATTACACATAATTTTGGAGTGAGTTATATATTCAGCTTTGTAGATAGACTTGAAAGGACTTATAAGTTATTTGAGTGAATAATACATGAGAACACATTCAAAAAATTAAAGTTTCACAAGATGATGAGGGGATAAAGAAGATAGCTTTGAAAATAGGAGCGTGGATGTTACCCAACAGAGGAATCAAATAGTTCAGCTGTTGAAACTATTGAACTCCAGCTTCTTTGTACTCCATTTTCTCTTTTCGTACCATTCTGCCAAGGTTGCTCTCAGAATTTAGATCTTCTGATATTTTTTCCAATGTTCTTTACATTGAATCGCCATCCACTTTAATCTAGCCTCAAGCCAGTGGTGATTTGAGGGGATGAAACTATCCTTTGGGAATTTGACTCCAACCCTGGAGATAAAGCAAAATTCCACCAGTAATTCTTTAAGTCTGCCTCTTTCCTTCTGTAGTCATGCTCAATCCATTTCTAGTGTCTTTTAACTTTTAAATGGCATGAAATTCACATTTCATCACAAATCAGTTTTTAGTTGAAAGCATTTTCTTTGATATTGCTGCCTTGCTAGGTCAGGTTTTTGGGAACGCTTTCCAGGCAAGTCCAAACAGTATGATTGATATAAGATTTGTTGTAAGTATTCTTCTTACAGCATTAGATTTAAGACTCTGCAGAACTATAAATAAAGATAACGTTATCAGAAAAGACAACCAATGAAACATATGAGGGCATTAAAAAAAAAAAACCTCTTTATATATAGATTACCCAGTTCTAAGTTTACTTTTTTAAAAGACTGCTTTCCCCACTTTCAAAATTTTATGCTCATAATTGCTATACTTTGCAGGTGCCTTCATCTCACAGAATGGCCCTGGCTACTTTGCCAGAATGTCAAATGTTCTAAAGAACAAAAGTTGTTTTCTGCAGCATGGTTTAAGTTCCAAAATATCTTGAGTCAAACAACTTGAGAAAGTAGTACAGCAGACTTTGAATTACTGGATTTCATAAAGAATGCCTGAAACATGAAACCCAGTCCCCCAAAATATTTAACTGCTCTACTTCCCATCATCTTCTTTGACATGATGCTTTCAATTACTAACATAACCATCCACCTTCACTCACTCTCACACACACTCACACACACACATACACACACATACATGCACACATTAGCTCCATGCCGTGAAATAAGGATGGTTAGAGAAAAGAGCTGGGTAAGTTGTGTAGTAAGAAATTGTGTAGACCATATATGGCCTACTAGAAAGATATACAATAAACTTAAATTTTGCAAATAATGGCTATAGATGCCTTGGTTTTGCCTCTTTATATATAGATTATCCAGTTCTAAGTTTACTTTTTTAAAAGACTGCTTTCCCCACTTTCAAAATTTTATGCTCATAATTGCTATACTTTGCAGGTGCCTTCATCTCACAGAATGGCCCTGGCTACTTTGCCAGAATGTCAAATGTTCTAAAGAACAAAAGTTGTTTTCTGCAGCATGGTTTAAGTTCCAAAATATCTTGAGTCAAACAACTTGAGAAAGTAGTACAGCAGACTTTGAATTACTGGATTTCATAAAGAATGCCTGAAACATGAAACCCAGTCCCCCAAAATATTTAACTGCTCTACTTCCCATCATCTTCTTTGACATGATGCTTTCAATTACTAACATAACCATCCACCTTCACTCACTCTCACACACACTCACACACACACATACACACACATACATGCACACATTAGCTCCATGCCGTGAAATAAGGATGGTTAGAGAAAAGAGCTGGGTAAGTTGTGTAGTAAGAAATTGTGTAGACCATATATGGCCTACTAGAAAGATATACAATAAACTTAAATTTTGCAAATAATGGCTATAGATGCCTTGGTTTTGCACTTTATGCTCTTCTGTCCACTCTCGTATCTGTGGCTTCATCTTACTTTCCACTATAGCTTTTTAAGGTAGGTAGGGAATATACAAGAAAGGAAAAAAATTTCATGCAGTAAATGATCTGGGCCCAGGACTTGGCTTTGCTGTGTACAGTCATGCCAGTTAACTTGCTTAGTTTCCTTTTTCCTCCTGTATACAGCTGTAACTCAGGTGACCCAGTGGCATCACCCATGACTCTCCCCACGGGAGCAGCCTTTTATATCATTTAGTATTAAATCAAACCATAATCCAGACACTCATACTGTGGATGTCCAAAATTATATTGACTTTCCAGATCAAATGAAAGACATTTCTATGACTTCTTTTCTACAGAAGCATCCAATAACATGATATTTTATACGAAGTTCCATTTCAGTTGCATTCATTGATTGATTTCTAGTGTGTATCAGATATAGCATGGGTGTTATAGTGGATACAAAGTTGTACAAGGCTTAGTCTCATTCCTCAAGATACTGACAACTTAGAGTTTATATCCTGCCTACAATTATATATAACATGAGACAGTACATGGAATATAACTAACATTTACTTAATGCTTACCTCATGTTTTACTTGACTTATTTTACACTTTAAAAAGTGCTACGTGGTTAGCACTAAGGTTGTCTCTATTTTACAGATGAGAAAAATGATGTTCATAGAGGTACTACCTGGATATTCTATGCTCATTAAAAAATAACTGGCAGGTGGCAGGATGGTCAAGGGCACTGGACTCACACATGACTGACTAAGGTTCAAGTCCTGGACCTGGTGGCCTACTTTCTCTCTCTCTCTCTCTTTTTCTCTCTCTCTTTCTCATTCTCTCTCTCACTCTGTCCCACTCTGCTGGTCAAATTAAAAATAAATATAATTAAATAAAATACTTCTTTAAAAAAAACTGGTCATGATTTTCCTAAGTATTCCTAGACTTGATAATTTAAAATTAGGAGCTTTTTTCTTCAAGGTGCCAGAGAAAACTCAGTAAATTCATGATATATAGAGAGTGCCAATGGGTCATTCTAAACCATAAAGACAATATTGCTTAATGATTTCCAAAGTGCCAGTGGTGTCTGCGCTCAAAGAGACTCATTTTATTGCTATAAGGTCCTTCCATCCTCCCTGAGATGTTTGTCTTTGTCCTATGTTACCCTCCTATTTCCATTTCTAAGACATAGAGGTGTTCGTGATCATAGAGGAGGGCAAAATTGGAAGTTATATTTCAGCATGTCAGATACTAGCAGCCTACTTTGTGTGTTATCTGATTGGATTTCTTCTCCCTGATTATACAAAGTATTTTTACATTTATTTAGGACACATTTTTACAACAATTTTTAAAGAAGAGCTTCTGATAAATGATTCTGAAGTCATCACTTTAATAGGATGGATAGACACATCATTGAAATGTTATTAGTGCAGTTAAATATTTATCTGGTGTTGTCATGAAGTGAACAGTTTTCATAGCTATAACCTAAGAGGATTCATAGTAGAATAAAAAAGATATACCATACTACAGCAGTAAGGGAGAGAGAGATAAGGCATAGGTGGGGGAAAAGCAATCCTCCTTAATGTTCTAGACATAGATATACAACAAATATGGTCAACATGAATGTAAAAGTAAGTGTTTAATTTTAAAAGAAGCTCGAGATTTACAAATTAGTATTTACATGAAATGTAAATTGTCTAAAATTTACCTGATCATATGGAAAATATGCACACACCTCAGGGCTAACAATTTTTTTTTCTTCAGTACCATCTTGATTTTCTTTTTAGTAAGGAAGAAAGATGTAAGAATGTATTTTCTACTCAAATAACTTTAATTGTTTCAGACATAACTAATGGATACAGAAGACTTAAGTAAGACTAATATCATTTTGCACACCAGTATGATCCTTTTTTATTTATCCATTGTGGTTTTCTTTTCTGATTAATTATTCCAGTTACTACACTTACACGTTTGTTTAATATGAAATGTGCACAAAGAGAGAAAAACATATGACACAATATTGCTTTTGTCTTATTTTCGTTATGAAAGCTAAAGAAATTCTGGGAGTCCTGAAAGTTTGTACCTTAAAACCTTTAATAAAAACATGGTAAGCAACTCTTCCTTTTTTTTTTTGGAGAGGAGTTTGCTATAAGGCATGTGTACTCACTCGCCAGAAAGACAGAGAGACTTGGGATCTTGGACGTGCATGCACGTGTGCCCGGCATGAGTTGAAGCCACCGGATCCGGGACTCGAACCTTGGTCGACTACATGGGAGTCCAGCAACATAGCCACTACACTAACTGCTGGTCCCCATAATAAGCAACTCTTAAATGAGCCTTCTAGCAGCAAAAAGTAATAATGATGATCTGTGGAAAATATATAATATTAGAACCTCCAAAAATAAAACAAAGTTTAATTATAAGTAAATGTATATTGAAATCAGTACCGATCATTTCAAAACTGAATGTGACACACGTGGAATTTGTCTTCTCTCTTTGGATACTGACTTACTTAAGAAAGTGTATCAGCTAACTGCCCCTTTGAACATATAATAGCTGATTTTATCAATAGTGCTTGAATGTCTAATCAGCTAGTGTAAGCTGGTTGGCAGAAAGGAAGTGGCGCTAGATCTGAGTCCTAGCTCTTCTGCTTTGGAAACCGATTTTTTTTTTTTTGAGAGATTTTCACTGTAGGGCGCGTGCGCTCGCCAGACAGACAGAGAGAGACATAGAGACAGAAAGCGAGAAATCACCCCCCAGAGGGGATGGTCACGCCGCAATCCCTTCTCCTCCATTCTCCTCTCGGGATCTTGGGCACGCACGCACATGCGCCCGGCGTGAGTTTTAAGCCACCGGGTCCGGGACACGAACCGCAGTCGACTACGTGGGAGTCCAGCGACATAGCCATTACGCTAACTGCTGGTTCCCTGGAAACAGATTTTTTATGCTGGCTTGTTTGTAGTCTTTTTACAAGATTCACCAAGTTGACCGAATTATTTTTATCTCTTTGCTTATTTCCCACTTGTATAGTCAGAAGACACAACATCTCTAAGTTACACGGCAACGGGCCTCAAACCAAACACTATGTACGAATTCTCGGTCATGGTAACAAAAAACAGAAGGTCGAGTACATGGAGCATGACTGCACACGCCACCACTTACGAAGCGGGTAGGTAAAGAATGACTAGTTTCTGTTGTCTCTTTCTGATATTTGGTAATGGTGTTTCCTACATTCTACCTGAGTTGGAACATTCGCTCACTATGGCATCTGTTTTATCTTATTCTACATAAAATATTTTATCCTTCAGAGTTGATACTCACTTTTATATCTAATATTAGTCTCCACACTCTAGAAAAAAAGAACATGAACCTCTAATGGGCTAAGTAGTCTGGTTATTATTCATTTGTGGCTTCTTCAGGGTATTAACTCAGAAAATATAAATAACCACCTTTTCCTCAATGAATTTAAATAAAGAGCAGAAATTCATTTATCACACTCTATCTAAAACAGAGTGTCTGAATAACAGTCGTGATAGGTCTTTACTATTTGGGTAGAAATTAGATACAAAAAGTTTGTATTACAACTGTGGCCTCATGGACTTTCTGAAATAACCTTGCCTGGATACAGGAAGAAGTTTCCACGTGGTCTTTTTCACCTCTGGAAACGGGACAACATAATGGAAAACCTTTATGAATTTGAAATAGTTCAAATCTAGGGTAATGAAAGCCACTATTCATTTTACCAGTCACAGTTATATGGATCATAAACTTAGGGTTTATAGCCTTAACATAGATGCAGTGTACTTGGTGTTTATAGCTCACAGATATCCAACACATGAAGACTACAGAGGGCATCAAGGGGTAGCAGGAGTTTGTTCGTTTTGAAGACCCCAGTCTCAGTGTATTGCAATCCTTCTGCTTCAGGTTCCCAGCTGAGACAACAGGCCACACTACACAACTGGGTTGTTTTTAGAGTTTCACTATATCTACAACGCCTAGGCTAACCTCCAATTTACAATCCTCCTCCCTCAACCCCCTGAGTCGCTGAGATTACAGGTGAATGACACTTGCCAAGTCTTTAAGTTGGAACATAAATTGAATTTGGGCCTCCCCTGTGGTCCCAGCCTGTGAAATATAGCATTTTAGCAGCACATACCATTGCAGCTAGGCTTTTATTTCCAGTAAAAGAGAGAGAAAGAGAGATTTTTGACAAGGTGTTGCTACGTCATAATCTTCTTACCCAGCCTTGCAGTTAGCTAGGATTACAGGCACTCGCCACTGTGCCCAGCCTGTGTTAAATGGGTTGGGAATTGAACTAGTGCCTCCCATGTGACCTCAGCCTCTGAGTAGCAGTATGCTAGCTGGGTATACCACCACTGCTGAACAGGGCTTAACATGCTTCTTAACTGGTTTCCCAGTATTGTATTTAGGATTAAGTTACAATACAGATTTTCAAATAAAATAATAATAATAATAATAATAATAATAATGCCAATAAATCTCTTCTCTGGGTAAACTGAATTTCTCTTCTCATTAGGATTTATCCAATGGTATTGTCAGTTCTCACTTTCATTTTAGATTTCTAGTTTATCTATTTGAGTTCTGTTAATATTGTTTTTGCCATAGGGCATGTGCACTCAGCAGAGAAAGAGAGACAGTGAGAAAGAAAGTGAGAAATCACCCCAGAGAGGGACGGACATGCTGCAATCTCTTCTTATCCTTTCTCTTCCTGAGATTTAGGCACACACATACAAGCATTTGGCATGATTTTCTTTCTTTCTTTTTTTTTTTTTTTGAGAGGATTTTTTGCGCTATAGGGCATGTGCATTCACCAGAAAAAACACAGACAGAGAGACAGAAAGTGAGAAATCACCCCTCAGGGGGGCTGGCCATGGTGTAATCCCTTCTCTTTCATTCTCTTCTCAGGATCTTGGCCATGCATGCACACATGCCTGGTGTGAGTTTAAGCCACCAGGTCCGAGACTCGAACCACAGTCAACAACATGGGTGTCCAGTGACATAGACATTATGTCAACTGCTGGTCCCTGGTGTGATTTTCAAACCACTAGGTTCAGGACTGAGGCCACGATTAACCATGTGGGAGTCCAACACCGAAACCACTCTGCTACCTGCTATTCTCTGGCCTGATTTAATTTTAACATCACCTTCTTCTATTTTATATGTTTTACATATAATAATTATCTCTCATAATTCTCCCAGGATGCCAGTGTTCACAGTTTCTTAGGAAGAAGAAAACCAGTTGAATGAGTTATGTACTGTGAGGAAGAATAAAAGGCCCTCCTTTCTATTTATTCGAAAGAAGATAAATAGGGTTAGTTGCAAACAAGTAAGAAATCTGGTTGTCCCTGAATGAAAGGGAAGAATTAGTAATTTTATGTTAAAGCAAGCAAGTTCATTTATTGTTCCCTTTCTGTAAACATGAAATGCACACCCATAACTGACTTGAAAAATGCACCCTATTGATTTCTCATCAACTACTGAGCCTTACAGGGACACCAATAGTAAAAGCCATTGCTGACAAAAAGTTATTAACTTTTAGAAATGTGGTTAGTAGAAGGGGTGACTCTCAAATCAGATAATGATCTAGATAAAGGTGTAAATAGCGTATAGATGAGATTCCTGGGCGATGATGAGAAATGAGAAGCAATTCACAAGTGTCTGTAGATTTTATAACTGTGAGAAGGAAATCAAATAACTCTCGGGTTTGCTTCTAACTCTGCAGTAACATCGAGACTGTATGGGGCCACCTTGTTATGTGATGACATGGCTCAGAGTAACCAGAAAAGTGCCGGACAAATTCTTGAAATAAAATACTTCATTCTGTTCAGATGATTAATCCTTACTGACATCTCTTAAAATAAGGTGGTCACACAGCAAAAGAATGGGGTGATAAAGATCATACAATTCTCAGTTAAAGTTGCTACCAAATTCAAATGACATAGAAGAGAGTGTGTTTTCTAAAAGTAAAGAATAGATTCTAGAGAACTTGGTATTTATTATTATGTATTTATATTTAATCTAAAGAGGAAAGAAGTCAATGAAGAATTCCTAAAAATCTCTCCAGCCAAAACTCAAGATATGGAGGAGGAACAGATCAAGTGCTTGTCTACATGGAGAAAGGACAGGATGGAGTTCTGGGAAGTTCAAATAACATACTCAACGTGATTACCGTGGTTGAAATCTTCTAGATCTTGAACATCACCCTCCATTAATATACTTAAAGAAGAAATTCCACTTGGGAAAAATTGCTTGAGAGTCAGTGAAATCTGTGGGCAGGACTTGTCTAGTAGATCAAGATATTAATTATGAGTTTCCAATGATCTTTGTTTGTCATTGTCAGGACCCAAGATAGCCATTTGGAATAAAAGGCAAAAAGAATACAATATGTAACATTGAGATCATTATAATACAATAAAGAAAAAAAGCATTTATTAAAAAGTCTGAAGTTGCATGAGAAATACCATCACAGACTATTAGGCAAGTTAAGATTAGAGCAAATAAATCAAAATATAAATCTTGCCTGGAGAAATAAGGGGGGGTCTCACAAAAGAAGTGATGCTTATCTGTGGCCTGAGTAGTTCATCTGGTTCCCATTCCAGTGACTTCCAAAGAATGAGAAGAACTTGTAAAAAAAAATTCAAGAAATTACAAAAACAGGTATCAGAATGGTAATGTGTTTGGGAGACATTTATGAATGGCTTGTAGGGATTGAGAACCAGTGTTCATGGACAGCAATAGGAAGTGAGACTATAAAAGCAAGTAGAGAATAGATTCTAGGAGGCCTACTATGATTGCTATGTATTTATATTTCATCTAAAGAGGATGGGAATCAATGAAGAATTCCTAAAATCACTCCAGCAAAACTTAAGAGATCAAGGAGAAATAGGCCAAAACATTCTGCTTGATTTCATAGGGATCATTAAAGTTGTTAAGGCCATATTCTTTTCTCAAATATTAGGATAAAGTTGGGACCGGCAGGTGGCATAGTAGTTGGGGCGCTGGTCGACTGTGGTGCAAATCCTGGACCTGGAGGCATGGTTCTCACTTTCCTTCTCTTTCTTGCTCTCTTGCTCTCTCACTCTCCCTCTCTGGTCAAATTAAAATAAATGAAGTTAAATGAAATATTTCTTTAAAAAATACTAGGATAAAGTGTGCAGTTTTTATGATAATCCTAAACATCTGAGTCATTCATTCTATTGAGTCAACAGAAAAGTATTTTTCTGTTTCTGCGCAAAAATGCAACATTACTTTTCCAATGACCAAAAAATACCAGAATTTCTTTTCATCAGTATTCACATGGCTTGAGAAAAAAGGGACACATAGCACCTCAAATAAATTAGTTGTTAGATTATTTTTCCAACTCACCAATTATTCAGTGTGTGTGTATGCGTGTGTGTGTGTGTGTATGTGTGTGTGTGTGTGTTTGATAGCCAAAGTTCAAGAGTCATTTCATCTTTTTTGAATATGCTAACAGATTCAGTGATGTAATCAAATCATCATTACTTGACTGTTTTCTACATGAACATCAATTGCATATACAATATATACATTGTGTGTGTGTGTGTGTGTATATATATATATATGTGTGTATATATATATATATATATATATATATAGTGTGTGTGTGTGTGTGTGTTGCCAAATGCCTGATGGGATGGAGAAATAAAATGAAAAGGGTTGCAGTGTGACCATGCCCCTTGAGGGGTCGGGGTGCTTTCATTTTCTCTCTCTCTCTCATTCTCTCTCTCTTTTTCTCTGGCAAGTGCACAGGCCCTCTAGCAATTAAAAATACAGTAAAATAAAATCCTCTCTTCTGTACAATCAGTAGCAAACTGACCTGCAAATGTATAGAAGCCACGTGGGCAACTGTGATCACATTCAGGTTTCCAGGTGGGCTTGAAAACAAACAAAAACTGAGAAGACAGGTCTTTTAATTATTTCCATAATTAGAAAATTTCTTATTAAACTTGATTTTGTAATCTATTACTGCATTGATTACAGGAATACCTGAGACTAGATGGATTTAAGGGACTACAGGTTTATGTGGACTCAGTTATGGTGGCTGCGATGTCCCAAAGCATTACAAAATGGTGGTAGGCTTCCAGCAGGGTCGATGGAAGCACTGAAGATGTTAAGTGCAACAGACAGACAGAACCCGAGCTGTGACCAGCTCTCCTTTGTAATAATCAACTCTCATGAGAACTAATCCCTTCTCAGAAGAGTTGGTGCTCACTGACTCTCACACAACCTCGTTAGTCTATACATGAGAGTGTCACCTCTATGGTGTAGTCATCATGATCTGATCACTGACTATGATCCCTCACCACCTCCCAACATCAAGTTCTAAAACATGAACCTTTGGGGACAAACCATCATCTAAACCATAGCACTTGATATAAATATCTAAATTAATTCATGACTATATCTTACCTCCCTAGTCATGCTCTAGAAAAATGTTTGTGAGAATAACCCTTCTTTAAGATAGCATTGCCTCTTTGGTATTTTGCTGTAATTAAATCTACATTTTTTTCACAAGAAACTTCCCTGATCTGGTTTCATTAAACCAGACCTAGTCTTTTTTATTCCAGTATCAACTACTCTCAATCGAAGTCTTCTTCTTCTCTAATTGCTTATCATCCTTTTCCTTTTATTCTGCCTCATCCCCTTTTCTTTCTTTTCCTCCTTCCTGTCCTACTCCTTAAAAAAATTTTTAAATATATTAAGTACCTTGTCCAGATATTAAAGTTAACTGCAACTTTGGTTAACCTGGAATCCCAGTGGCTTTGAGGACCAGGGCACTGGGAAGAAAATAATGTGATAGATGGGAATGACTGGTGTCCTCTCTTCTTGGCTCATATTTGAGAAGAGAAGCTGGAAAGAGAGAGTTGACAATGTGAAGATACTGCACTATATGACCAACAGAAGAAGCAAAGGGAATCATTAAAGATTAATTCAGAATTAGGAGCTTTTTCTACTTATTTTTTGATGCACTGGATTCCTATTGGAAACCAGGAAATTTCTCCAGAGCCCAAATGTAGAATCTAGAAATGCTCTGAATATCCCTCTGTTAGCTCTGGCTAACAGAGCTGGGGTATTGTGAGATACCAAGAAGAGAAGTTCTCTTTCAAAGCATAGAGAGTGAGGAAGCAGGTCAGGAGATGTCCTACTTGCCTTAGAATTTGCTGACACCTTGGAACCAGCAGTTAGCATAATGGCTATGTCACTGGACTCCCATGTAGTCGACCGTGGTTTGAGTCCCAGACCCAGTGGCTTAAACTCACGCCGGGCACGTGTGTGTGCGTGCCCAAGATCCCAAGAGGAGAATAGAGGAGAAGGGATTGCAGCCTAGCCACCCTCATGGGGGGTAATTTCTCACTTTCTATCTCTCTGTCTCTGTCTTTCTGGCAAGCGCACGCTCCCTATAGCAAAAATCTCTTAAAAAAAAAAAAAAGAATTTGCTGACACCTTTAAAATATAGTTAAAACTTTGTTGATCAGTGTATGTGAGAGAAGTAGCTCTAAGAAGGGCAAGTTCCATGACATTTTATTTCATGTCAGATTGATACTAAGACCCTTATAGATTCTTTACCAATTCTATTTTAGTTTCTGACTTGTGCCTTCTTGTTCATGAGATACCCATTATGTCACCTAACCAAAATGTTTTGACCTGAGTTTTAACTCAGTCGTTTGGCCTCTAAGGAAATACAAAATTGAGATTTTTATTTATAATCTGTAGTTGTAACAGAATTCTGTCTCTTAAAGATATGTAGTCATCATCCTCACTACATATGTGTAATTTCCTCGTACTTCTAATGGTTCTTATATTTTCAGTGTGAGCCCCATTTGAAAATACTGTTCCTTTCCTATAGTTACTTTTCTCCCTTACTTTCAAACATATGTTATTCTTTCTGTAATCACACCTTTGGTGATACTGAACTTCCATAGATAATCATTAACTTTTGTATCTTTGCTCATTTTAGTTCAAATCCTTGAAATAAATTGTAAATGCAAAAGTAAACATGATACATTTCAGACAGATTCTGAGTGTCAACCTCATGACTGAAAGTCCCACCCGTGTCTGTTTTCTTTCACATCCAATGACAAGGCCTTGTCTCTGTCTCATCCTACAGCCCCGACCTCTGCTCCCAAGGATTTGACAGTCATTACTCGAGAAGGGAAGCCTCGTGCTGTCATTGTGAGCTGGCAGCCTCCCTTAGAAGCCAATGGGAAAATTACTGGTAAGCATGTCAGCTTCTTTCCCCAACTGAGCTCTGCCTGGGCCTGCGACTGTTTACCTCATGCTTGTTCTAGCCTTGGTGTGCTAGTTTTCTGCCTCAGCATCTCAGCTGATGCTTTGCAACTCTCTGATAGTCTCCCCTTGCCCCACACTGACTGTAAACTTAGAAGGTGCATACAGACTTACACACATACACTTCCATTCAAGTTGCTTCATGAAAGATGTGTATTTCAATTAGAATAGACCTTTTGTTTTTCATTTCATGTAGCATTGGACAACCTTCCAATGGGGTGCCTCTGAGTCCAAATGACTAAAAAGAAGCTGGTTGTTTGGCAATTAAGAAATACAAAAGGGACCTAATGACTCAGTATTTTGTATGGCCCATAGGAATGAGGTTTCTCTGGCAATTTTTAGTTTCTCACTTAGCTTTTAGCTTCTTACTTAAATCATAAGGTTCAGAAAACACTTAATATTGACTGACAGAAATTGAGCATAATGAATATTTCATGGTGACAGATTTTATTTTGCCAAATATTGCTGATAACATCAATGCCTAATTAAAGCATCCATTAGAAGCCTGTAATGTTAATTTAGTATGAAAAATATAATGGAGTTCTATCAGAGATTTTGCATTTAAATGATCACTTTAGGCTTTTAATAGATGTCTCCATAGCATGTAATTATTATGAAAAATATTGTATAACTCAAAATGTGCACATTATAGTCTAATTAACTTGAACCATTGGGTTAAGAACATGTGAGAGTCACTCCTTTTTCTTCTCTTTTGCATACAAGAGGTGGGTACTGTTAGAGATTAACAAAGTAATTCAGTCATTCTGTGATACACAGATAACTTATGGAAATTGCAGTTTCAGATGGCATGCTTACTTTATGTGAGTTACTTTTTGAATTTTGCAAAATGAAAAGATAATGTGAGAATTCCAAATGTGATTGAAATTTAAGTTGAAGATTCGTTTTTCTCTAGAAAATTGCTTTTAGTGCAATAGCAAACAAAATTTTCATTTGTACTAACAAATAGGAGAAAGAAGAGGGGCATAAAAATCTCCCCCAAATCTTATATAAGATTCAGTTGTTTGTGTCTTTTAAGGTCTTTTAAGACAGATGGGCTCATTCAGTTTCTCCCCCCACCCCCATTGTTATAATCTAATTCATTGGTCCCATCTCATTACTTCTGTGGTTTTTTGTTTATGTCTTATTTTGTTATAAACAGTTATAAGCATATGGTAAATCAACAGATAAGAAGGAAAAACAGAATAAAAATTGTCTATGCACAAGCATGTTCTGTTAGAAAAAGTATATTTTTGGTAAAGAGTAAAATAAATCATATTCTTCACCCATTTAAATAAATGTCATCAAACAGTCAATGTAAACAATAGAATGTGCTTTCAACTCTTGGGAGAAAGCTTGATTTTGCTTTTCCAGGGAAAAAGTATAGCTCTAGTCCGTATTAAGAAATGCAAATTAATCTAAGCAATAAAAATACATGTGCCAAAATTGCAGAGCATGTATAAAAATCTTGGCCCGTACTTTATTTACAGTTGTTTCTTCCATAGTTCTCACTGATAATAATCCATTCTCTTACATGAGAAGGTGTAAGTGTAGGAGGCAATACTTCTTGCCTTTGAAGCCTGGCTCACTTCATTGGTACACATTTGTTATTATCAAGGTAAGATGTCTTAACTCAATTGGGTGCAAAAATTAAAAATCCTTAAGAGAACTTGTGTTCATGGGTATTTTGATTTTATCATTCAAATTACTTCCATAAAATAGGATAATAAGGGGCCAGCCAGTAGCATGGAGGTTAAGGCACTGGATCCCACATGGCTGGCTGAGCAGTTCAAGTCCTGGACCCAAGAGTCATGCATGCATATGTGCCCAGTGTGAATTTGAAGTCTCTGGATCTGGAACTCGAACCCCAGTCAGCTATGTGGGAGTCCAATGAACCTCAGTCAGCCATGTGGGAGTCCAGTGACATAACCACCATGCCATCTGCTGGTCCCCCTCAAAAAAACAACTTTTAGGGGAGACACTTGAGCAAGTCATTTAACTTCTCTGAGCCTCACTTTCTAGCCTATAAAATAAGAATAAAAATGGAACCTCTTTCATAGAATTACTATAATAAAAGTGCTTTAAAAAGTCCCTGATGCCGGGAACCAGCAGTTAGTGTAATGGCTATGTTGCTGGGCTCCCATGTAGTCGACCGCGGTTCACG